TTTGCGGGTCTGCGGCTCGTCAACATACTTGCTTCTATGCAATACCGCAATTCAATTGAATCCGGTTTGGCCCCATCAAAACCCACCTCCCCTCGGCTTTGCTGAAGCCAATGTTCATGGGTTTAAGCATCTAGGTCAGGTATGGGCCGGGATTGCAGTCCAGGACTTTAAAATTGTATCCAAACATGAGTTTTGTTTGTCTATTAGACTATTTTTCTTAAACCCATCAAACCAAACCCTCCATTACCCATCTACCAAACAGACTCCTAAGGGTGTCTTTGGCAAAGCTTTGGGGGATAAGATTGGTTTGTATTTTTAACTCAAACCAATCCAATGAAAATCCAATAACTAGGATAATGAAGTGGTGTAATTCTATCCCTCATTTGGAAAGTAATTTCTTATATTATGGGGCTCACGGACAAACCATTATTTTTTTGGGTCAAATCTCTTTACTTTCACATGACAATTTTAACCTTTAATCCTATCTAAGCCAAAGTCAATGTTTGCTATGAAATTTTATTCATGTTGTCCACTTTTAATATTTCATAAATATGTGACAACTGTGTCACCAAGGGGAAATACCGAAAATAATTTAATTTTCATTTTCCCGAAAGTTCACAAGTGCAAGTACATTAATTTCCTCGTAACATTGTTCCACATTATTTTGAAAAAAAAATTAAGAACAAAGAAATAAACAATTCAATATCACATAAACATATTTTATATTATGTAACTACACATACCGATATAGTCATATCACATGTTGCTTTCAAGTATATATACAAAATGAAGGCATCCATACACGCAACATATAACAAATGCATCCTAATCTCACATATGAAACTAGAAAACATATATGAACAGCAAAAAAATCTAATCTCAGCTGTAAATTTGGGTAACCAAATCAAATACCCACTGCAAGTTTTAAATTTGATTACACTCACTTTGTGATTTTCAACATGTTTTTTTTTTANTATTATTTAAACAACAATTTTACAATACTATGTTCTGCAGTAACGCACATTCTTTGGAAAAACTCAACGATATAAGCATAAATTTTAAACAAAGATTCTATACAATGTTCATTTTCATTACTATAGGAACCTCAAAGATTTTGCTGCAATTTGCGGGTCTGCGNAAATAAAATCTAAAAAAAATTGTCAACAAATATTATTTCCAAATTCAACAAGAACCCGCCTCCTATGCATTGAACAACTAATTATCAAATCATCAACTTGACCTTAGTTTCTATCCAACCAATAAGTCTTGATTAGCGTGGTCAAGCCAAACCTCAAACTCCTTCATAAACTCAAGACTCAATCTAAGCATCAATACACAAAACTCCATTTGATCAAGAGCCCCATCACCATTAATATCACCTTCTCTCACCATACTCAAAAGATCATCGTCTATCAAATGCGGGATTTTTTTTTTGGGGGGGAGGGGGTGGGGTAGAAAATTGAGGGGATTTGGGTTTGGGGTTTTTGTGTGTGTGCATTTAACAGAGATAGAGGAGAGAGATGTGAGGGGAGTAATAACTGACATAGAGAGGCATTGGTGCTGCTTGGTTTCTGTTGCTGATGGTGCTTGGTTGCTGTTGCTAGTGGTGCTTGGTCGTTGGTGGAGGTGTTGTCGGAGAAAGGAAAGTGATGAGAGACAGTAAAGGGAGAAAGAGCCAAGAGAGAGCAGATGACACCGATGCCTGCGGTGCCGTTTGTGATGGCGATGGCGTTGCAATGGAGAGGCAGATAAAAAAGGGGTGGGGCACGGGTGGTGCTTGGTCGCTGGTGGAGGTGTTGTCTGTGCAGCAATGGAGAGAGGAAAGTGATGAGACACAGTAGATAAAACCTAGAAAATTATTGTTGAGGGGTGTTTTAGTAATTTTGAGAATCAATCCTGGTAGGAGCTTGTTAATCCCAAATTTTTCATGGATTTCAATAGTCCGACTTGGAGGGGATATTGAGGTCAAAAACTACAGCCGAAATTTTCAATTCACAACGAAAATCCCACCCAATTTTACATATCCAAAGCAAGGATAAGTGAGTTCCATAGATAATTTTAACTCAATCCCCCCTTTAATCCCCCTTAATCTTGCGAAACAGACACCTCCTAAAAGTTTAGACATTACTGTTGAAGATATGTTTTATTTTACACCTTTAGATAAATTTTTTCATTATGAATTATGTAAAATTTTTTAATTTATGTCTTATATCGTGATCTTTCAAGCACATTCAAGCATAATAGAGGAAATAATTTCATAGGAAATGCTAATTAAAAAAATTGAGTTGGCAAGAATGTGTGAATAAACTTAAGATTGTCTTTTTATTGCATTGATGTTTATGCTCAGGGGGTATTCTATTCGTGACCATGCATAAATGGTAGTCGTGACCATGTTATGAACTCTATGCATAAATGGTAGATTGTTCTATTCGTGACCATCATGGTATATGTGAGTACAAAACATAAGGATTCAATTTGACCAGTGCAAAAATTGGTAGAACTAAAGCATTAGGATTCATGACGAAGTGGGTACTAGCTGGTTCATTTATTAATTTGATCCAGTTGATAAGATTTTTTTTGTTTAAAATTGAACTTAAAAAATTAAAAATACTTTTCTAATATTATAAGGATTGTTATTAATATTACATTGAGATTTCTTTTTTGATAAAGAGATTACTTTGGTGGGTTATTTCATTTAATGTTGGTCATTTTTGGTTAAGAACTATTAGATCATCTAACGGTTGACATTAAAAATACCCACTAGAAACTATATATATGTGTGTATATTTGAGTGTTTGTGTGAATGTGGGTATGCATTTTCCTAGGAGTGTGATTGAGATCTAAGGTGCATTGTCGGTCTTTTCATATTTGTTGACTTAGTTAGCCAAGCATCTACTTTTGGTGCACGAGTCAAGGTGCTTTTTTTTCGATGTCACATAAACAGCAAGGGAGAGAGGATTAGAATTTAGGAATACTCTTTATCTTGTAAAAATTTTATTTTTTTGAAGTTAAGGGCTCAACTCCTCTTCCCCTCTCCCTCCCCCTTCCAAATTTTTTTTTTTTAAAAAAAAAAAAAAGGGTGAGAGAATTGGAATCTAGATTGTTCAAGTCATCATTGATTACAAATTGCCATGATGGTAGAACCAGAGAGAGAACTTGAACCTAGATTATTCAAATCATGTTGGAGTACATATTGCCAGGAAGGTAGAACCGTGGTTGGATAGTAGCGTTCCACCTCGTGCTTCTCCCAATCATTTTCACCTTCCACTTTCTTTCACCTATTATTTTGTAAGTTAAAAAAAGGTTGCTAGAGAGAGTTTACGGATAATTACATTACATAAGATAGTTACTGGAGATATTTGGTCGAATATGATTGAAGAATAACAAATTTAATAATTCAAAATTCTTAAAAATTAGAAAAATGGGTTGACAAATTTCTTAAGCCACTCTTCCTAAAAAAAATTGATTAGAGTCAAATATGTGTTTATAGACTTGGGTTCTGTGTCTGGGATTGGTCAACAGAAAATGTGTACATGTATACAAGCATACGAGTCCTTGGCGATACACAAGATATATTTTTGGTATTTTTTAATTTATTTATTTTTTCTCTTTCTCCTTATCACTTAAGAAGATAGATAAAAAAAAAAAAAATACTAAATTATTGTACTATTACAAGGCATAAGAGCTTGGTCAATGCCACATTCATAAGAGCATAAGGTACTTACATTCATATCATTTTCATCAGGTACATTACTAATGTTATTATGAGCTTTAAAATGAATTCAAATGTATCTTTGGTGTTGTACAACTTGATCTCGAGATAGCCTTTAATAGTGTGACACCTAATCCCAACGGAAAGAACTGTGACACCACTCTTTTCAAAAAGCGATCTTAATGTCGTCTACAATTACGATTTTTTAGAATTTGGTATATAACAATGCAATAAGAATTTGTTGTACTCTTTCTCGTGCTTATATGGTTGTTTTTTTTTTCTTTAATTTCAGGTTACCCAAAACAAATAGTGCAGCAAGACAAGTTTATTGGGCTATTTTTTTATTTATTTTAACTTGGTTGGAAAGGTTTTTTTTTTTGTTTGAATGTATTTGGATACAATATTACCTATTTTAGTGGAGTTGATTGCACTGGTTTTATGTGGTTGAATTGGATATTTTAGTGCATGGAGATGTTATGTATAATTTAATTGCTTAGGTTTTATTGTGAGAAAAATATGCTAAGTATTAAGCCAATCAGAACCATGCACACATCAGCAAAATATAAAAGGAAAAAAAAAACTAAATTTTGCCGATGTTTAGCAAACACTGGAAATTAGATTTTTCGACGACCGGACTCTGGCGAATAAGACGGCACGCCAGTTTAACTTTCTCATACTGAACGTCGGTTGCTTTCCCGACAGCTGTTTAATTGTTGTTTTTCCTAAATGCCGAAAAATGTTTTTGTCGACGTTTCACAAACTTTTCCTGGAGTTTACAAACGCCGGCATTAGTCAAATTTCTTGCAGGGAATGGAAGAGAATAATGTTGAAGAAAGGATGAACTCTTTCAATTCATTCATGCCTAAATGAACTGATTACATATGATATATATATATATATAACCCTAGGCATACAATAAAACTCCACTATCTCCACTACATAAATAAAAATTATAAATACTCAGCTCCTCCATTATTTGGAGAATTGAAATACCACAATTACTTTATCAAACTAATGACCTACTAATACAAAAATTAAATGCATAAAATATAACTCCTAAAACATGGAAAGTCCTATTTATTATTTTTCTCAACAAATTTATCTATATGATCAGCTTGATTAAAAGACTTCAATTTGCCCTCGGCCAAAGCTAATTAGCTGAAGTGGAAAAAGAAAATTAAAGTATCTAATAAAAGAATTAGGAGTATCTTGGGGCTGATAAGTCTATTATTGAACCACAACAAACCTCAGTTTTTGTATGGAAAATTAGCAAATTCAGACACCATTAATTTTCATATTATTCAATCCTTAAAACATTCTTACAAATAAAACACATGGAAAGAAGCCATGGCCACGGCAACTTTAGAGTTTTACATAACATAGTTTACACCCATCTCTTGTATCGCTCGCTTCGATCCATCCATTAACCCTGGACTCAATCTAAACATGAGGATACAGAACTCCATCTGATTCAGAGCCCCATCACCATCCAGATCTCCTTCTGCTAACATGCACACAAGCTCATCATCTCCAAGATCATACAATCCTAGTAACAGTGTGTTTTTCTTCAAGCTCTCGAACGTGATGAGCCCTTTTTCAACGTCCATCAACAAACAGAAGCCATTACATAGCTCTCTCATGAATCCATCGGAACCCAGTCTTTCAATCATCGACGGAAAGTAGTCTTCGAAAACAACTGGATCTTCACCTGCCATTTTCAGACAAAAAAGGTTGATTGTAATGAAAGTGCAAGAGCCACAAGGTACAGAAATGAGAGAGAAGAAGCTAATTAGATAGGAGTAGCCATTGAAGCCAGACAAGGCATATTATGTATATAAGAAGGTGAATTTATGGTGGTGGTGAGCTTCTTGCACCTTTCTTTGAGTGCAGTCCTTTGTTTTTCATGAGTGTTACAAGGACATTCAGCGTTCTCCTTCCTGGAAGCTGCATGGGATCCGAGAATCTTTTGGAAAGTAACTACCTTAATTATTCTACCCGCGTTCAGCGGCGGATTCACAGTGGGGCCAGTTGCCCCACTGGAATTTTAAAAAAATGTGGGGTGTAAGTATAATTTTAAAAAATTTAGAATTTATTAGACATTTGCCCCGCTAAAAAGTTTTAAAACATTTATGGGGCTCGTAGCTCTCTTTGTGTTTTATTGTTTTATGTATTGAATTGAAATTGGGGTTTGTAGTCCTCTATTTATTTTTTATATGTTGAAATTGGGGCTTGTTGTCATCTTTTATGATTTATTTTATAGGTATTTAATTGATATTGGAGCTTGTAATCCTCTCTTGTGTTTTATTTTTATGTTGAATTGGAATTAGGGCTTGTAGCCCTCTCTTTTGTTTTATTCTTATATGTTGAATTGGAATTGAGGCGTATAGTCCTCCATTATGTGTTAGATTAAATTTTTTTGATTTAGTGGTTTGAATAATTTTATTGTGATAGGTTAAGTAATTTTTATATCTAGGTTTAATTTAATAGAATAATGTAGTTTAAGTTAGTTTCTATTATTTGTTAAAATTCACTGATGAATACTAAGTGTGTGACTGAACAAATTAATTTTTTAAAAAATTAATTGAGCAATTGAATGAGAGATCAATGGATGAACAATTGCTTGGTTACATATGTCGAGAAAATAATTTTAAGTACCATTGATAATAAAATTATCATACAACGCTTTCAAAATATGAAAACTCTTTAGGAGAAACTATGAATATTTATAGGATGTTCGACAATTTGGATTTTCTCATTATAGACTCAATATATGATTGAACTCAATTTTTTTGTTCAATTTTTTTTTGTTAGGTCTTATAAATAAATTTATAGTGAGTGTTTTTTTTTTGTTGGCTGTTTTTCTACATCGCTCATGTATATGAGTTGTACCTTTAATTGAAGTTTTATTAATAAAAATATATTTTTTGTGAACATTTAAAATTTTGACTATTGTTGCCCCTATTGGAGAAGATTCCCTGCCCGCATTATACAATATTGTCCGTTTCAACCAAATTTGCATAGTTTTAAAACGTGTTAACAACTCGAACACTAATTGTAACATCCGTGACTCAATATGTAAAAGTAAAACATTGTCCACTTTACGTGCAGTTTTTTTTAAAAAAATTTAAGATGAAAATTTAATTTAAATCTTATGCTTATTCACCACTCCAAAGGTACTTTACCAAGTGCGTGAGACTTGAATCGTCATGTTGATAATTGTACTGTGATGAGGAGGAGGAGGAGGGTAGCACGAAATAACCGTACTACTAGCGGACACCGTGATATACAGATGAAAAAATTGATGATGTAAAGGCCAAAACACTGGTTATAATTAGTTGCTAGAAAACTGTGGTTGAATCTGTCCAAAACTACAATAATGAAAGATGTTTGGCCTGTTTGCTTACAAGAATTAGATATTTGGACGATTAGATCAAGTGGTATTGTTTCAGAGTACATAGTGATAGCTGTCTTATCTTGGCTGCTTATCCTTTTTGTTGCATTGTACACATCCAGTAAAATGTGAAATACATTTTGTAATTCTTCTATTTACATCAAATGCAAACACTGTGTATTCACATTCACCGTGAGAAATAATTTTTCTCAAAGGTCTTTAAATAGTTCTGTAAAATGTTAAGGATTATCAGATTCACCCATTTGTTAGGTGGACAAAACAATGTCAATTTCAAGATTATTGTGAACAGGTTATCATTTTGCCTGGCTTATGGAAGATATCATATGATCAGTCCCATTGTTCAGTCCAAACTATTTACATCAACTGATCCCATGGATACTCTATACATGGTATTATCCAATGTTCTTCTAGTGGACATTATGCACTTGTTACACAACTAACCCTTAAAGGAAGAGCCAAGCAAGGAAGACAACGGGTAGGAAATGGATTAGTTCAAGAATCAAACAAAAGACAAGACATAAACCCACGAGTCCTTCGGTTAGAGTCTCAAATCACCCCCATAAAACCCAAGTTTAAGTGATTAGTACTGGATTGCGTGCATTTTAGGTTTGTATTATTACAATCAAGATTTCAAAGACCGCTTAATTCGAACAAACTTAATTAATAACCCTTACATATGCATGTAGGAAGGAGGGATCACAGTTACAAATTAGTCATTGTAAAGATTATTGCTGATTTGTTGTTGATTGTAAGGGTAAATGAATATGGGAATTTTGTAGCATTAAATACTTTTTTTTTCTTTAATTTACTTGTAACTTTTAATAGCAAAGGATGTGGGTTCTTTCTGATGGAGAAGTAGTCACATTATTTCAGTGGGACACTGTTCTCTTTATTGTTTCCAACAAAAGGAAACTTCATTGCAGTTTCCTCCAAATCAATTGAAACGTGAAGCATCCACCATTTGAGCTAGATCCCCTCTGATAACAACGTATATATCCCATCAATGATAAGTTCTTGGGTAAGTTATGTTGATAATAATCTTTAGTGATCAAATTTCATCCTCAGCCAGCTGATATAAAGACTTGCACGTGTTAAACTGCAATACTATTCCGCAAGTGAGTGCATGTGAAAAAGTAAATGACTCTTATATCCCGCAAGGGACATATCTAACGTCAACTCGTTTCACCCGATAAGATTGGTAGATTTAGTAATAAATAATGTTGGTTTTGCGTAGCAGATGATTAACACAAATAATATTTATTAGAAGATAAGGATTTAAAGATAAGAAAACAACAAAAATATGATACAAATATATAACGTGGTTCGATACAATATACTAACCTTGATATATAATACCTATATTCGTGGACCAAGAATTTACATCGATGTATCATTCATTGAAAAATTGATCATCCGGTAACTGATTACGTAAAACTCAATCCTATTTATAGGGATAAAATATTGTTACCAAAATTTATTCAGATACAACTTATCTTTATATTTCTTATCACATGTCTAGTATACCTATTTATGGTATATTAAAACTCTTCAAATATGTTTTCTATTTCATTCAAGATTCTTACATTAATTACCCAACAAACTCTTCTTCATAACAATTAGAGAGTTTGAGTCAAATTCCAACAGCCACCTTGAATCAAACTCTTCAAATTTGATTNACATATCTAACGTCAACTCGTTTCACCCGATAAGATTGGTAGATTTAGTAATAAATAATGTTGGTTTTGCGTAGCAGATGATTAACACAAATAATATTTATTAGAAGATAAGGATTTAAAGATAAGAAAACAACAAAAATATGATACAAATATATAACGTGGTTCGATACAATATACTAACCTTGATATATAATACCTATATTCGTGGACCAAGAATTTACATCGATGTATCATTCATTGAAAAATTGATCATCCGGTAACTGATTACGTAAAACTCAATCCTATTTATAGGGATAAAATATTGTTACCAAAACTTATTCAGATACAACTTATCTTTATATTTCTTATCACATGTCTAGTATACCTATTTATGGTATATTAAAACTCTTCAAATATGTTTTCTATTTCATTCAAGATTCTCACATTAATTACCCAACAAACTCTTCTTCATAACAATTAGAAAGTTTGAGTCAAATTCCAACAGCCACCTTGAATCAAACTCTTCAAATTTGATTGATCATGCTCAAGATTGAGCTTACCATCCTTGATTTTGATCTACCAAGTTTTCAAGCACCATGTACAAACCTATTCATTTGACTTGTCACAATCCTCTCTGTCTTTCAAGAACCTGTGTCTTGCCTTGCATCATTTATGCATCTCTACCCGCATCTTACCTATTTTTGAGAGGTTTCAATAGTCAATACTTCACCATTCAAAGGAAAAAACCCAGTGACTCATAACCCACGAGACACTAAATCTTCACTAGTAAGTTTATATCAGCCCAATAACTTCTAAACTATTGAAATACCACAACTTCAACTCTAATAGCCCCAAAACCTGAAGAAACATATTTAACACAATACGTGTGGTAATTCTTAAAATTCAAACAATGAGGAAACAACTTAGCCTTCCATTAGTTTCTTACTAACTTTAATTTTTTTTCTTGTGAATCTAATAAAATATAAATTATACGTACATTGCAAAAGAGTCTTCTTCAACATGAACATCAACTTGATCATTGAATTGCCAACAACTTCTCTAGTTGTTCTACTATGATCTTTAATCTAGCTTTAATTATTCTACCAAAATCATTAATCTACCTCTGATTGGTTGCACCAGGAGCGTCAATCTGATTCTGATACCATTTGTTGAAACATAGTTTTGATACGAATTCGGATCCCATTCATTATCTCTTATCTTCAATTTTTCTCAATACAATGTTACATGAGTAACATGTGTAAAATTCTGAATTTCAATAGATAAGATTTTTTCCTTGTGGAAAATTTTTTTAATAATGATTAATACTCTACCAACAACAAAACGAATGTGAAAACATCTCATCTATTGAAATTCAAAATTTTACACATTTCACTCATCTAGCACTGTATTGAGAGGAATTGAAGAAAAAAAGGTATTGGAGGGGATCTAAATCCTTATGATACCACTTGTTGGTTTTGGACAGTGGATAATTAACACAAATAATACTTGTCGGAAGATAGGAATTCAAAAATAAGAAAACAATAAAAATATGATGCAAAGATATAATGTGGTTCGATACAACATACCCACCTTGGTATACAGTACTTACATCTACGAACCAAAAATCTACGTCGATGTATTATTTATTGAAAAATTGATCATCTGCTAACTGATTACTAAATACTCAACCTTATTTATAGGGATAAAATATTGTTACCAAAACTTATTCAGATACAACTTATCTTTATATTTCTTATCACATGTCTAGTATACCTATTTATGGTATATT